ATGTGGTGCTGGGGGATTGAACCGCGGTCCCTGATGCTTTTGCTAAGCTTGTTCTAAGTAGGTGCTTTAGACCACTGAGCCATCTCTCCAGCCCCTAGACCCCCAACTTTTTAACTTTTTTGAAATACAATCTTGCTATTTTATCTAGGCTGGTCTTGAGCTTGCTGTGTAGCCCAGGCTAGCTCAAACTTTAGATTCTCCTGTTTTAGCCTCTTAAGTGCTAGGATTATAGGCATGCATCACTACACCTGACTAGTGCATCCATGTTCTGAATCAACAGATAATAGTTAGTGTTGTTCTTGCAGTTTATTTCTAACTATTCATACCCACCTCTTCACGCTGACCTGAGTTTATCAGGCTATCCTGCCATGCCACATTCCCACACCCTTGCTTTTCCTGAAATGTCTTATTATTATTATTATTATTATTATTATTAACCTCATATTAAAGGTTTAACTCAATCCCCCCTTTTCTTCAAAGCCTTCTCAAATTAGCCCAAACCAATGTCCCTGAATTTACAGATCTCTTAAACAATCGACTCTCAGGACATAGCTCTTTTTACCACATGCCCTGTGTTGTTTTGTCCTTGCTGTAGGGGTTGGACTTGTCCGGCTAGCTGTGACTCATTTCCCCTGGGAAGTTATCTTGGATCCCTGTCCTGCCACTGTGCTCTTCCCCTGGCTTCCATGGAGCACGGTACTCACTGCTCATATAGCTTACACTACGTTGCTTGTCTGTCTGTCCCACTGGCATGTGTCAAGCAGTCCAAGGAAATCTGCTTCTGTTGAGTGCCTAATACTTTTTTTTTTTAAAAAAGGAAAATATCAAAACTGCATCAATGAACTACTTCAGATATTTTAGGGAAAAAAAATACAACATTAAGCAGAAACCTATATAAAGGATGAAGGTGAGAAAAGCAGGTTTACCCTGGGTACAAGTGCCAAAATCAGGTTTGTGAAGAAGGTAATACACCTGGCATTCCTCAATTAAACCTGGACTCTATTTTATCTTTTCTGAATCCAGGGCTGGGCAGTACATGTTAGGTAAACATGCTACCCTGAGCCACATGCCAGATGCGGCTAAGCTTGGACCTTTTTTTTTTTTTGCAGAACCGGGGATTGAACTCAGATCCTTGCACTAGCCAGGCAAGTGCTTATTTTACTAAACCATCTCCCCAGCCCCTAAGCTTGGACTTTGTATATATGTGTAGTATTGGGGATTGAACCCAGGGCCTTTACAATTGGATACATCCATAGCCCTGTCCTTATGTTTTGTTTTGAGACAGTCTCACCAAGTCCTAGCTGGGCTTTTAACTTTCAGTCCTCCAAGTCCTGGGGTTATAAGTATTGACCACCACACCTAGTTTAAACCTGGACCCTTGAAGGGGTTAGCATAGTCCCAGGTCAGCACCTGTTGGTTCTTGGCATGCACAAAAGCTACTCTTGCCTGGAGGAAGGCAGCCCTGTTTAGGCCCACAAAATTCCTGTAGATTAAGTTTAACAAAATATGAGTTCAAAATCCGAAAATAAAAGGTTTACAAGGAAACAAACTACTATTGGCAGGAGTCAGCACAAAACACAAAAAGATTTATACTGTTTTTTTTTTTAAACATTTATTTATTATTTGTGTGTGTGTGTATGTGTGTGTGTGTGGCCAGCTCAGCCCACCAGGGGGCAGGGCCGGCTGGCATGTGGTGCTGGGGGATCGAACCGCGGTCTCTGTGCTTTGCCAAGCTTGTTCCAAGTAGGTGCTTTAGACCACTGAGCCATCTCAGCAGCCCCCAAAAAATTTATACTGTTAAAATAAGTTACGTAATATATAATAATCTCAGCATGTTTCAAAAGAATTGGTATCAGAGACACCATATTCTCTAACAAAGTTTCTAGAATTTGGAAAGTTATACAACTTTTCTAAATAGGACTGAGTATGGTGGTACATGCCTGTAATCCTAGACTGGAGGCTGAGGCAAGAGAGTCACTGTGAATTCAAGGCCAGCCTAGGCTACATAGCAAGAACCTGTCTCAACCAACCTTTCCCCTCCCCCAAACCTTTTTCTAAATAACTCAAGAGCAGCTGGGCATGGTGGCACATGCCTGAAATCCCAGCAGTCAGGAGGCTGAAGCAGGAAGATCTCCACGAATTTGAGGCCAGTTTGGGACTGATGAGTTCAAGGACAGCCTACATAGTGAGGCTCTTTCAGAAAACCAAAACTTAAAAACCAACAAACAAAAAACGCCTAAGGGGATATAGAGAGGGAGGCTGAATCAGGTGGAGAGCAAATTTGAGCCCTTCCTGTGCAATTTAGTAATTTACCAAGATACTGTCTAAAAATAAAATGCTGTAACTCAGTATAAAGGTTTTGGGTTCAATACCTAATACTGAGGGGAAAAAGAAAAGGCAAGAGGAAAGAAAGAACAAAGAAAACCCAAATTGTTTGATGTTATAAAGAAACTGAATCGGGCCAGGGAGATAGCTCAGTAGAATTAACGCTTGCCTGGCAAGCACAAGGTCCTGCGTTCAATCCCCAGTACAAAAAAAAAAAAAAAAAAAAGAAACTGAACCAGTAGTAAAAACGATTCCCATAAAGAAATGTCAGACTCAGATGGTTTCACAAGTTAAATTTTACCAGGTATTCAAGGAACAATTCATTTCACTCTGATGTAAACTCTTTTTGAGGATAAGACAAGAGGACAGTTCCCAACTCAAGAATGTACAGACTAAAAGGACCATCTTAGAAACTTCCGTAGAAATCACTAAAAACAAAGGCACTAACATGTACAAGAATGTTCATAGCAGCATTGTTTGTAATAGTGAAAAACTGGAAACAGCCCAAATATCCATTGATAGGTGAATGGCCAAATGACTTGTGGTTTATGCACTCGAGAATTATACAGATGAAAATGAATGAAGCAGAGCTATTACAACAGCATGGATGAATCTTAGAAGCAGTGGTTAAATGCCAAAAAAAAAAAAAAAAACACAAACCTTCAAGGACTAGTAATGTGTAATGCTTTTGAAAAGCTAGAAAACAAGCAAAACCAAACAATATATTTTTAAAGAATATATACATATGATTAATATATACACATATATACATAAGAAGTCATTAATAAAGTTAAGGACAGTGGTTACCTTTAAGAAGCAGCAAGGAGACAGGAATAGGGAGGAACACAAACTCAATGCTATTTTTAATTTTAATGTATAAATTGAGTGATGCTCATAGGTGCTTATTTCTTTAACATAATAATTTATTCGTTATATGTTTATAGATTATAATTTTTAAAAATCTGTGGTAGTAGAAATAAATGGACAAATGAATGACATCTCCCTGAAGGAAAGTCTGTTTCTTGGGAAGAGCCAAGATTCCCTGACATAAGCCGCCCTAAAGTAGGTCCTCAATGGGTCTGCTTACTGCTTTTCCCAAGAATACACCTGGAAGGTCCGAATCCCTTTCCAATTGGTACTCTCTGAGCCCAGAACTAACTCTTTCCATACATATGACCTAACCCCACAGTCCTGGCTAAGTCCTGACACATGTATGACAAGAGACTGACACCTGGTAGTCAGAGAAGGAATTTAATGAAATGACTAGAAAGGAAATCTTTTACTCCAGGTAGTAAAAGGAGCAGATTGAGGGACAGGGAAACAGGAATGAAAAGAAAGTGAAAATTCAAAAATAGGAAAGGGAAGGAGCTCCATGTCTGAGATGTGGAAAAAAGGATTGTCATTTAAGCTAAACGGAGAGACCCTGAAAAGGAAACGACTTTCCTCTCCTTCCATGAGACTAGAACAGAACAAGAGGAAAGAGTTACAGCTGCAGTAAGGGAAATGCAAGACGGAGGAAAAAGGAAGGTTGAGTTGATCTCAGCCAAGCAACCTAGAGTCACATGTACTTCATAGCTGTAGTGAGGAGTAGTGCCTCCCAGCAATTCTCTGGCCTAGTCTTCATCTGGGGAATCTGCTTACAAGGACTGCAGTTCCCCTTCTGCCCAAAAGAGTGGTCCGTGATATAGACCCAAGCACCTTAGCATCCCATCTTCTTGGCCACATTGGTTGGTCAGGGATGAATATGACTCAGCTGGTCTAATCACAGTGAATCTTCAGACTTTTGCTAGGATTCTGACTTATATATATTGGACAAACATGTAACTCAGGAGTGCTGGTAGCTATGAGGTGGCCCAAGCTTGAGATGGTTTTCTATTAGGTAGAACAGTGAGACTAAATTTTGAATGGTTGAATCAAGCTTCACCTGGAGCACTACTTGTGGCCTTTTCACTTCATAAGACAGTATATCCTTTTTATTATAAGCCATTCTGAATTAGGTTTTCTATGATTGAAAACCAGAAGACCTCTAACTTGTAACATTCATCATACTTACCCCATCCCTATCTTCCCACAGGAGGGCACAGGGATCCAGGTTATGTTACTGTGGATTTATTGGTTACACCAAAGCCAAAGTATTGAGCTGGGAAGGTTAGAGGCTGCCACCAGGCACTATGTAAGACTGAGTGACTCAGCAGTCTGTACAGAGAAAGGACTTCCATAGGGAAGGAACAGCTGAATGAGAACCAAGTACAGAGAAAGGCCTCTACTAGGCAGTCAGGCAGTTAAATACAGATATGGACACCACACTATGGACCTGCCTGTCATGGGGGTGTTGCCTTAGGGTCTTTACACTCATGAAGTAAGGAACTTTGAAGCACATGCCCCTTTAAGCCTTTATTACCCTGTGCTGCAGTGTCTGGCCCTCCCTTTACCACCTGAAGAGCTTCCTTTTGGCTTCTACTGCCCCTGATGACACTCACTTTGGGGATGATGACAGGAATTTTATCTTCTGCTTCTTTGGCTTGCTGGGAACTAGGGCCCCTTCCTCCTTTAGAAACAGCACCATCATGCTGACCCTGGGCAAGTACTGCCTCCTGCTCAGCCTCTTGCACTGGCCCTGGCCTTTCTACCCCTCCAGCTGAGTTGCTGTTCCCTCCTAGGCTCCAGGTCTCCCATGGTAACCTTGAGGACTGGGCGGAGTCCATGGCTTTTGCTGACTTCTCAGGGGTGGAATTTCTTTCCCCACTTCCACCTGACTTTTTTCGGGGGCGCCCCCGTTTTCTTTTGGCATCACTTGCTGGATCCTCTGTATCCTGCTTTGTTGCTTTAGCTGGTAGGTCCTGGCCACTGGCCTCACTCACAGGTACTTCTGCTGTCCTCTTGACACCCCTGTCATGGGGTCCTGAGTCAGCACCTATGCCTACCTCCCTGTTCTCTGTGGCCTGGGGCTGAGTTAGTCCTCCAGGTGGAGCTCGCCCTGGTCTTGGTCCTGGTCCTGGTCCTGGTCCTGGTCCTGGTCCTGGGCCTGGTCCTGGGCCTGGTCCTGGCCCTGGTCCAGGCAAAGCAGGAACAGTTGGTAAGATCATGTTAATGATGGGCATAGTTGCCTGGGGTCCCCCAGCCCTATTGGGCAGAGGCAGTGTAGCCACTTTCAGGGTACCTGAAGGAAGCTTCGGGGCTAGAATAGGTGAAGTGACTTGAATTGGAGGAATAAGTAGGCGAGGGGCTCGGGGGAGGAGCAGAGGCAGCCGGGCCACTAGGGCATTAACCTGTGGGTTACTGGCTGCTGGAGCCAAACTCTCAATAACACTCTTCTTCCGCTCTCCACGTGCAGAAGGGCTAGTTCCAGCCCGGGCTTCTGGCTCCTTAGGAGGCTAAAAAAGAAAGATGATCTCAATAAGGTATGAAGACTGTGTATCCAACAAAACAGGCATTGGAGGCACAAGAGATGAGAAAGCGGGGACCCATCAGTGGAAGGGTATACTTAGCATGTGGCCAGGTGTAGTCAGGAGATCAGGCTTCTTACCTGGGCTGGTTTCTCTGGTTTCTTGTGGGCTCCCCCCTCCAGGTTCTCTACACCATTTTTGGACTTTGATGACCGTTCTCGAGGGGCATGTTCATCCTCTTCTGAAGAGGTGCCAGAAAAGGTAACAGAGTGAGAGTGAGGGGAAACTGAGGAATGGAGGAGTGAGGTAATTGTAATTGCCAGGCTGCTGGGACAATCAGAGAAGGGTCTCCAGGAATACCAAGTGATTCCAAGGTGAAAGCTGAAAAGGCCTGAGTGTTTCTCAGATGTAAGAAAGGATCCACTCACCAGCAATCCCCATGGCCTTAAGCACATGGGCATGTGCAGATCGGGCAGAGATGAGATGCTGTTGCAGCAGGAAGCGGGCAACCTCAACAATAGAACTGAAGGACCGTTTCAGGATTCGCTCTGCCCAGTCACAGGTCAGAGCACAGGCTGCCTCTACCAGTTCATCCCGAGGTGCTGGGGTTACTTCTGGGCCCATTTCAGGCTGTGACAGGGGAAGGATATGTCCAATCACATTCCAAACTAAAGATCCTCCCACATTACTACCGTACTGATCCAAGCAGAGACCAGGCTGGAGATGGGAGAAGTCTCTAAGCATGGTGATCTAGAAGGCCACAAACTTTTTCTCCTCTGCCTTGGCCGCAGTATAGGCAGAAAGGCACACAGAATACACAGACTGACTTGATTCTATGTCAGCCCTCAAAACATGTCCCACAGATCACTGACTTTTACCTAAGAGCAAAGAGTGGAGCTGAGGGCTGCTACTTACATTCTCAGAACTCTTTAAGTCAAGTCCAGGCAGGGGTGGCATAGATACCAATGTCTTCCTTCGTATGCCACTGTAGCAATATCTTACACAAGTTAAGGAGCAGTTAACACTCAGGCTTTCCAAACCCCTGAGTCAGGTCAGGCTACCTTTACTCCTGGCCCTCTGCATTGCATGTGTTCCTACCCAGGTCCTCCAGCCCCAACCTCTCCAGTCAAGGATACTTGGACTGACCCCGGCCACCAAGCCTTCGGGCCTTGATGTCAGGGAAGATCTCTCTGATGATTTTGCCAAAGTTGGCTGTACTTAGTGGGCGGCAACAGGCAAGACTCTCGCAGTACTTTCTGAATGAGTGAGAGGCAGAGAGGGAAGATAGAGGAAAGGCTATGGGTGGGTTCAGAGGGTTTCTAGGAACCAAGTGTGGGAACCTCTTTAAAAAAGATAGGCTCTTCTCAATAAAATTATGGAAAAAATAAAAATAAAACATATACAGTTAAAAAAAAAATAAAAAGATAGGCTCTAAGATGGACATGGTGGTGCTTTCCTATAATCCCTGTACCCTGGGAGGCTGAGGCAGAAGGATCACAAGTTTTTTAAGCCCAGCCCAGGCAATTTAGTGACCCTTTTTCAATATTAAAAATAAGAAAGGGATGGGGAAGTAGCTCAATAGAGAGATCCTGAACTTAGTTCAGAGTATCAAAAACAAAATAAAACAAAGGCTCTATCAAGGCAGAGTTCTGTAGGGATAAGGGGCTAGACCCCCCAACTCACAACCCACCCTTTACCCACCGATAAGCATCATAAACACTCTGCTTTGGCAGACAGGTGTCTGTGTGCTCTTCCAGGTGGTTGCGGATCCACCTGTAGGCATACATGTACTCTTCACTGCTAAGCGTGCTTGGCTCTGAGCTGAAAGAGAAGTAAAAGGGACAAGCATTACTGAGACCCCAACAGTTATCCTGGTTCTTCAGACTACCACTTCAGTAGTGCTGGACGAAATTAGTTCACCCAGAATCTACATTTCTTTTTGACCCAGGGCAATAGCTATGAGTCTTCCTACTCACCTCGCCCTTTCCAGTAAGATGAACTCAAAGACTCTGGACCTCTAATATTTAAAACACTGCCACCAAACCTACCTTTTGTCTCCAGTGCTGGGACCTGAGGGGAGCTGAAGGTAGAGATACAGCTTGTCGTTGTCTGAGAATTTCTGTACATCTTGCTGAGGTAAGAGGGAACAGGCAGAAAACATAATAAGGTCAAGAAGGACCTAATGTAGGACCCTCTGATTTGTACCACAAAATCCAGCTGACCTCAGAGGTTCTTAGGTTGAAAAATGGACTTAAAAATGAATTGAGGCTGGGCATGGTGGCACACCCCCCTGGGTTACACAGTGAGTTCAAGACCAGCCTAAACTACATAGGGAGACTCTGTCTCAAAAAAAAAAAAAAAAAAAAAAAAAAAAGAAAGAAAGAAATTGAGGCTGAAGCTGTAGCTTAGTACTGGAGCAGTTGCCTAATGATCGATGGCCTACCATCTGATGGGGGTGGGGGGCAGAAGGATCACCATCAGGTCTACTGGGGTGCTCTCCAGAGGCCATAAAAGTAAGAAGCTCATACTGGAAGCAAGTTGCCAAGATAGTGAGTTTTTTTTTTTTTTCTATGTGGTACTGGGTCTTGAATCCAGGGCTTTTGTATTGTGCTACCTTCTCAGCCTTTTTTGATTTATTTTGAGACAAGGTCTCACTGAGTTGCCCAGGCTAGGCTTGGGCTCTTTGCTCCAGTCCAAAATCTACTATCTTTTGGTAACAGTGCATCTTCCACATAAACCTTCATTTACCCACAGCATCCCCACGGTTCCCATCCCCCACCAATGCCATCACTTCGCTGCCCTCTTGCCAAGGTGCTTACCAGGATTCCTTCTACTTTGTTCTGCACGGCCTTGCTGTGGACAAGAGAAAGCTGAAGGTCATACACATGGTTTTCTCATCCCTTTTTGGATTGCTATGTATGTGTGGGCGTGGGTGCGCACGCTAAAATGCCTAAGAGGGCTTCAAGAACTGCTGTCAGGACCTGCAATCTCCCTCTTCTCTAAGGTACTCTGCTGCAGAGAGGCAGCTCATCTCCTGAGGAAGTAAAGCACTACTGGGATCTGTCCAGAGGTCTCGAACAGGATTTGCAGGTGGTGACAGGTACTTACGAAATGGTACCTCGGAGCCTTTGAATAAGGGTGGTGGGTTCCCCAGCCTCTGCACCAGTTTGGGGGGGCCTTGCCCCAGTCTTGGGGCTTTTAGCATCAGGCTCATCTTCAGCCATCCCAGCATGGGGCTAGAGCTGAGAGGGGACAGAAGATGAAGAGATCTCAGGGCAGTTCTCATCTCTCCAGAAAAAGAAACAGACACAAAGCCTCCAAATCTGCCTAGTGATTGTTTCTCACCACTTCTGCCTGTTTCAAAAAATTAAAAATTATTCCATTTCACCAGAGCCATCTATACCCAAAGGGGTCTCTACAATCTCCATTCTATCTGCTCTATCTTTTTGAAGTCTCCAAATGTAAAGGAAGAGAAAGGGGATTGGAAATCTACGTTAGAAAGACATGTTCATTTTTCCTGAGCCCTATGCTACCCCCCAAACAAACACAAAACAAAGTTCTCCAGATCTCTAATTTGATTTCGCCTGGCAGGTTAGGAAGGGTACAAACAGATTCTGGCCTGCCACGCGTGTGGGGACCAGGCCCAAATTCTGAGGGCTTAATCTCGTCAGGCCTCCCCACGGCGCCGCCCCCTCCTCACGGCGTCGCCTACGTCATCACCCACAGCAGCCCATCCCGACGCGCGCCCCCACCCCTCCCAGACCCCCGCCCTTCAATCCCCGGCTGCTGCACCGGGGATTGGGGCCGCGGCACTACTGGGCTGGGCGGAGGGAACCCGGCCGGGAGAAAGGATACTAGATTCGGGGCACGTGCACATGGTGAAGCAGCCGTTGAAATACAGCCGGCATCTTTTTCTGCTCGTTTCCCATCTCATATCGCCCCCTCCCTACCTCTAAACAGTCGCCTTCCAACACAAGCACAAATAGAGGTAAGGGAGAAAGAGAAACTACCTCGTAGCACCTTCACTCCAGCCCAGCCCCACGGTCCCGGCCTAGCGGGCTCCTGCGTTGCTTTATTTTCCTTTTTCTGAATGGCTGTTTTCGTCGTGATCTGCCTGGATACACGGACTATCTGCTTGGTGATTGGTTGTTGTTGCTACCCGGAGACCGGAGGCGCCCGGCTAGCACAGGAGGCTGTTTAAGTCTGCCTGGTAACAGAATCTGATTGGTTAGCAGGAGAGGGAAAATCCAAAATTGGTCTTATTTGAGTCAAGAGGGGGAAGTCCGGGTTAGGTTTCAGTTAAAACTAGGGTCGATTGGGACTGCCGGTCCCAAGAGGTTGTTCTCTTAAAGGGACCGCAGGACGCAAACCCGTGCTTGGCGGCCGTGGGAGCTTTCTAGTTAGTCTTCTGTCCTCCCCTTCGGTTTCAATTCGGCCTTCGCGCTTCGACGCTGGCGGAAGAAAAGAATCAGTGGATGATAAAATAGCTAAAAAATGGGTGGGAGCAATGGAAATTCACTATAAGCTCATATAACTCCCCTTTCAGGTAAAACGAACCATCTCGCCCCTGCCAGCCGAACGCAGAGCACAACCAAGAGGCAAACAGGCTGCCCTTTCTCCTCAGTGAAGACGTTAGGACATCAGCAGCTGCACCACTTTAAGCCTAACGCCTCTCTCTCTTAGTGTTCTCGGTTTTCCGTGTGTGTTTTATTCCTTCCCAAGGTGTTGCGAGTGCATCGCCCACCCCCATTCTGCACTTGGTGGACGCTGGGATTTTGACTCATTCAGTCCCGCAGGGAGTGCTGGACTTGCACTGGAAACTTAGAGAACTACATAGGTCATGGGTTCTTAACTCTCTTAGAACTTTTTAGGTCATGAATTAGATAAAAGCAGTGAAAACGATGCACCTGCAGACGAAGTTTTTCATCCGATTTCAGAAAGGATGTGGACTCCAGATTGACACCTCTCCTAATCCCAGCAGTGCTGGGGATTGAACCAGTACTTCTTCACACTGAGCCGTTTCTTTACTTGCCTTTCACGGAGTGCTAGCATTACAGGCATGTACCACTGTGCCCAGCTGACACCCTCTTAAATGGATAGATTTATTTTGTTCTGTGTAGCGGAGATGTTATATCCCAAATCATATTTGCAGTCCTAACTTTTCCAGGCTGCTTGTCAACAATGTGTTTTTTAATAAAGAAGGCATCCATGATGTCTGATCCCATCACCATGGCCCTGGACAACCTCCATTTCTGAGCTAACTACTTCTGTGGGTTTTGGGGAAACCCAGGATATTGTCTGAGAGAACAAGGCTAAACTGGGAAGGTTTTCTAATGACAGCTAAAATGTGTTTTGTTTTTTTTTTTTCTTTTTCTTCTTCTTCTTTATGTATTTGGTACAGGGTCTACAGGCTCTCACTATGTAGATTGGATTTGTAGTGACTTTCCTGTTTTCAGCCTCCCAAGCGCTGGGATTACAAGCATGGGCCACCACTCCCAGTCTCGGCACTGTTTGGTCTTGATTGTGTGTCAGATGTCATACCAAACACTAGACATCTCAGTGTACACAGGTGTAGGTATTGGTACTGTTATTCTCTCAGCTTTACAGATGAGGATATTGAGATTTGGAGAGATAAAGGGACTCATCCTCAGTCCTAGGTGCTGGAATCTGAATCCAGAGGCCAACAGTTTCCTGGAGAGCTCATCTCCCGAACACTACCCTAAACTGTATAGGTGTTGGCAGGTTTTTGTATGAATGGGTAGTGGTTGATGGACCACACACACACACACACACACACACGCGCGTGTGAAGGGGAATCCAGGATACAGAATTGGGGTAAATTTTGCTGCATAAACATGTGCAACGAATAGAGAATAATTGAGTTTACGTAAGAGGAGAGAAAGTATCACGTTTATGTAAAGATTACTTGGACAGAATTGTGGAAGGTGAGGTGAATGGGGGGGTTAAAGACTAGAGATGAGGAAAAACAATTGTTCATTCATGACAGATATTTTGCTAAGAGCTGGGGTTACAAAGCTGAATAAGGCACTGTCCTTACCCTGAAAAGTAAAACTAAGTATTATCTGCACTTTAGGAGGCTGAGGCTAGAGGATTGCAAGTTTAAGGGTTGCCTAGGCAACTTCCTGATCAAAATAAAAAATAAAAAAGGATTGGTGGTACAGTTCAGTGCAGAGACCCTGGGCTTAGTCCCTAGTACCACCAAAAATTCTGATAATTATTGTAGCAGCAAATATTTAGACCTTAATGTGTAGTAAGGACAATACTAAGGGTTTCATATATGTTACCTACTTATCTCAGTGACTCAAAAAGGCATTATGGTTACCCCATATTACAGATGAGACTGGAGCAGTAGGAGGTTAATAATTTACCCAAGGTTATTGGGCAAGCTGCTGTTGAACATTTGAGTTGTTTCCAGTTGTTGCCAATGTGAGCACAGAAACTAAACTATACTATCTGTGTCTTTAAGCATAAGGCATATGCCTACAAAGTAGGATTGCTGAGACAGTCAGAACTTGAATCTAAGCTGTCTAGATTCAAAATTTATATGTAGGCACTATTGTATAATAACTACTAAAAATGGAGGTGAATTTATTGAACAACCACAAAAATATGAACCATAAAAGAAAATGTTGGGCCAGGGAGATAGCTTGGTGGTCTAAGCACCTGCCTGGCAATCACAAGGACCTGGGTTTGATTCCCAGTACCGGATACTATGCCAGCCCTGGACCCCCAGGCACACCATGCTGGCTACCGAAACTGGGCGTGGTGGTGCATACCTGTAATCCCAGTGCTGGGGAGGCTGAGATAGGAGGATCACTGTGAGTTTGAGCTGCATAGCAAGATCCTGTACCAAATAAATAAATAGATAACTTTTAAAAATTTTAAAAAAGAAAATGATAAAATTCAGAGACTTTTTTATTTTAAAAATACTATAGGGCTAGGTAGGGTGGCACACACCTGTAATTGCAGGACTCAGGAAGCTGATGCAGAACCAGCTATGAGAATTTGAGACCAATCTGAGCTACATAGTGAATTCAAAGCTAGCCTGACCTACATAGCTAGACCCTGTCTCAACCAGCTCTATCCCATCCCAACCCAACTCAAATATCACTATGAGAGGAATATTATATATA